ATAGGAGAATCGGCAGGAAAAGCACTGGCTGAGGCTCTATGCAAGAATACCACCCTGACCGTATTAAATATAAGTGATAATAATTTAGGAGAATCGGTAGGAAAAGCACTGGCTGAGGCTCTATGCAACAATACCACCCTGACCGAGTTAGATATGAGTTTGAATAGTATAGGAGAATCGGCAGGAAAAGCACTGGCTGAGGCTCTATGCAACAATACTACCCTAACCAGTTTGTACATTTATGGAAATGGGATAAGTAATTCGATAGAAAAGGAATTGAACGAGGTTGTATATAATAAAGTTAAAAATCTGATGAGAAAAATCCAATTTCAATTATAAAACAAGACCCATTGGCATCATCACTTGGTCAATCTAGTGTTAAAGATTATTTTTACTCTGCAGAGCAAGACTTTCTCGACAATCCTTTAAGGATTATCTATGATACTAAGATTAATGGCCAAAAGAAAGTAAACATACCAGGTTTATATGTTTATTGTGAAGTAGAAGGTAATAGACAATCTGATATTGAAGTATTGGAATTATTACAGTTGCACGAAGAAGAAATTTTTAATATTCTTCCATCCAGTGTGATTGGAATAGGGATTACCTTTGTAAAGTCATATCAGGAGCCTTCCATCATTCTCTATGTTAATATTCTACCCGAGCTCTCCGAACAAACAATTGAAAATTTTTTTGCAATATTACAACGACCACCAGAGGATATTGTTATTTGCCTATTATTCGACGAGGATAAACTCAATAACAATGCCGAACGAAGTAATAATAATAACTCTAGTAGAAACTTTGGCGTAGAAAAGGAAGAGGATAATAGAGAAAGAGAAAATAACTCTGATGGGAGCAAAGGAGAAAATAAAGATAGAGAGGATGATCCTAATGGAGGCAAGGAGTATAACAAAGATAACGAGGGCGATTCCAACGAAAGTCAGAGAGGTAATGATGAAAATGAAAACGGATTAAACAAAAATAACAAAGGCAAGGAAAAAGAAGGCGGTGGTAACGATGATGACGATGGTGATCCGAGTGACACTAATAGTAATACAATGCCCTATGGAGCTATTTATGCAAGTGCTAATGTTCATATTACGCCTGACAATAACAATGATAACTTTGGCCAAGCGGCTTATATACAATTTAAATTGAGAATGCGGCGCCTAAAGAGTACAAATGACGAGTTAAAAAGTTTAAAATTCGAGATCTTTGGCATAATCTTTTCAGGTGGAGAGATGCTATCATCTAAAATTCCTAATCTCAAGGGCGAAGGATATTACCCTGTTAAAGCCGAAGTTATTTTAGAACCAAGGCAAGATGATCAAAAAAAAAAATTATCTAGATTAATTACATCTATCGATCTAAACTCTCCGAGCGGTGAAATGAATGTTATACGGAATCGAACCGAGACAAATAATGTTGGCACAACGGCAGGAGTTAATGGGATTAACCCTAATCTTACAGTAAATTTAAATAAAGAGATAACAATAAATGAGAAAGTTTCTTCCGTTCGCATTACCAATCCTAATCTAGGGTTCCCAAATATTTTATGGGAACATGATCTAGGAAATGAGGTATCTTTTGAATCTAAAAATATCAACTTTTATTAAAATAATTTAATGAATATATTTAATTTAGGAAAGAAGGCTTCCTGTTTATTCTGAGGCGCCACTACACACGGCTTGCATTGGGTACAAGGATGTAAAAAATTTTGAAGTTAAGGCGACATTAACTTTAGAATATAACGAACACTTTATTTCAGGATTAATTAAAATTATCCCTTTCCGGCGTGTAATAAAGCTCCCAAAAAGGTTGAAATTTTCGTTTTCTATAATAATTGCAGAAAATCAAATTCAAAATATCTTTAGAAAGAATGGTCCGGTATACTACTGCAGTCCAGAAGCCTTACAAGCCGATCGGGATAATAATTTTGAAGACTTATCAGAGAACGATTTGGAAAATAGTGGAATCATTTCCTCACAAGAGATAAAAAAATTAAATCTTAAAAAATAATAATATAATGTATGTGAAAGTTTATAGGACATTGTATATGTGAATTTAATATTCGATCCCTTTTTAGGTTTAATTAGGTATATTTACTTATTATATGACGAAATATTTATTTTAAAATATTGTTATAATTCGGTGTTTAGATATATTATTGATTTTGTAATTTTCTTATGTACAATTTATTTCTTGTTTTAATTAGATTTTTATTTAGTTTGATAATATAATAATAAATAGTAATTAATAAAATGAATATAATAGTAAACCTATTTTTTTTATACTTTTAATTAAGCTACAAGCCAAGATTGTTTACTAATCATATATAACCAAATACAATAATACAATATAAATATTATATTATAGTCAAATTATTTACAAGTTGCTGTACACTTATAAAAATCTAATAAATTTATATAATTCTTGAATTCTTAATATCAATATTATCATGTTGCTTCTATAATATAACTATTTATTAATTATTTTATCATAAGAAAGTTAATTTATTAACATAGTATTAATTATTTTAAACTTTCTAAATCTATTTCAATTTTCTAAATAAGATTATAAAAGAATAAAAATAATGTTTTTTAAAAAAAAAATTATAGCCAGCCTATACTTGAAACTGCTATTTCAATATAATTATTATAAATCTAAAGTAAAAAATTTTATTTTTGAAAAAAAAGTTTATATTAATAAATAAAAACTTTTCTAAATCAATTATCAGTCTAATAAAAACTCTTTTTAATCTTAAAAAGAAAAAAGACTAAACTATTTTTAACAAAAGAATATTTTAATATTTTGCTCTATTGCTTTATTCAATTATATATTATTAGTTTTAATATTGTATAACATGAAATACATAATAAATAGAATTTTGAATTAGTATTGAAATAATATTAACTTATAATAAATTTAATATTAACTTTATATTTAAATAATATTGTTAAAAACTCTAATAATATATATATATATTGTTTATATTTCTGTTATATATTAATTAATTCAAGATTTAAATCAATTATCAATTAAAATTTCTGATATAAAAAAATTTTAAAATAATATAAGAAATTTTTTAAAAAATAAAAATTTTTGTTAATATATAAAAATAGTATTACAAATATATATAATTGATAAAAAAGAATTATTTATTTAAATAGATAGATATTATTGATTTGTTTACTTACTTTAATTAAAAGAGTTTACTTATAACAGATTTAAAATTCTTATAGAACTTAAAAATGTATTTACCAATAATTTATTTTTTAAAGTTTCAGATTTATAAAAAATATAATAGAAAATATTTTTTAACTGATTTTTTTTTCCAATAATAAATAAAACTTTGTTTATTTTATTATTAAAATATATAAAAGTTTTTTTTAAAAAAAATAAACAAATGAAAGAAACATTAATTTTTAAAAAATCAAATATTAAAAAAAACATATAAACTTTATTATCAAAAAATAAAATAAATTTTTAAAAACATTTGTTTTTAAATTAATAAAAATTAATAAAAAATATATTATAATATAATAAATAATATTAAAATATTAAATATATTAATTTTTTTTTACTTTTAATTAAATTATTTGAAAATATTTATTAATTTTTAATTTAAATATAATAATATAATATAAATATTATATTATAAACATTCAATATATTTTTAAATATTTTAAAACCTTCAAAGAAGCTAATCAAAATATTAAGATTATTAATCATATTTTTTAATCAGATAACAATTATAGACCAATTTTGCATATATAACAAGTTATTAAATTATTATATAATATTATAAACAAAATCTTTTCTATATTAAACTTTCTTAAATTGTACTAAGACAATAACAAAATCTATAATTCAACTATTAATTTGATTTGAAAACCATATTGTTCCATAGTTAATATCTTGTTTTTAACTGAAATTAAATAAGATTTTATAAAATCTTTAACTTATTTAATTTTTCAAATTAGAAAATGGTATATTTCACAAGTTAAAATCATATTTATTAATACTTTACTTAAAAAAATTATTATAAATCTATCTGTTATAGTTATTAATACTTTTATTCAATATACTGTAAATATATTAAAATTTAATATCTTTATTACAAATTTTATTTCTTTTAATATTGAGTAAATATTTATAACTACTTGATATTATCTAATAGAATATATTGTTTTAAAATTTTTTTTTAATATTAATTAAATAGTTATTATAAGTAAGCTAATATTTAACTTGTTGTATTAATATATAAGAATATTGTTTTTTTTATAATATATATCTTGATATGTATATAAAAAAAACTCTTTCCATTGATCTTTTTGCCAATACAAAAAAACAGATGTTCCAAGGAAATTTTATATTTTCCTGTAATAAAGTCTATACATTTTCATTAATAACACTTATACCAAAAGACAATAGTTTCTCCTGCTTGTTTCTTTCTCTCTTTGACATAAACTTTCTGTATTTTTGCAAATAAATACAAGAAATATCTATCTACAAAGTTAAAGGCAAGAAAACTTTGCTAAGAAAAAGAACCTGTAGAAAAAATATACCCCTCTCTTCTTCCAGAGATTCAAGACTCTAGAAAAGACTAGCACAGTTTTTGTAACTCTTTTCTCATCTTCCTCAAGCTTCCTCCTATCTTTTCAAGTATGTAAACTTTTTTCTGATTTTTCTAGGGAATTTTGCCTACCTCAGTTTGACCATTAATTTTTGGTTACACCGGAATCCTTGAATAGTGATTGGCTCAAATTTTGGACTGGTTGATTTATACATAGCAAGAAATGTAAACAAGACACGTAACTCCCACATGCCCTATCTTGTATAACATAAAACCCAATGATGCAATTGGATACAGTAAAAGAAGCAAGGTGACGAGGTATCTTTTTTGTCAAGAAATGTTATGGTAATCCCTCTCCCCTTTTGAACTGGTTTCTTTTCTCTTTAGAATCAAAAGAAGTCTCATCTCAATCCAGTAACAAGCTTTCTCTACTGTTAATTATCCCGAGAAGGCATCAAGCAATTCTCTAAGGTATAAGTCTTGTTTCAAGCAATAATTCCTTATGGGTATAAGACTTGTTATAAGTATCTTGAACGTTCTTGGTCAGCAATAAAATAATGGAAATTAAATGGTTTGCCCAGCTGCAGGTGGTGGTAAAGAATTTATCCCAATAGATTGAAGTTGATACTAAAGGGTTTTTATTTATCAGAATAAACTTTTTAACTACTCTTATTATTATTCTTTTTTTTTTTAAAAAAATAAAAATTTTTTTATCTTTTAGGACCACAGGGTCATTCAAGATGACAGTTTAAATATAGGCTGGCTGAGATCTTTCAAGGCAAAGTCTTTGATGTCTAGTCTTGAAAGAATGCAACTTTTTCATTCCCAATAATTACATCTAGAAAGTTTAGATTTAAAAAGTTTAAGATAGTTAATACCATGCAGTAATAGCTTAATGAACTTACTCCCTTGTAGTGAAATAATTAGTAAATAGCTAAATCATATGGGCAACACAGTAGTCTTGGTATTAAGGATTTAAGGATCATGTACAAATCTAAATTCATTGACAAGTGTTCTGCAAATTATGTGACAGTTTAGCTTTAGTATAGTATTTATATTGTACTACTGTTTTCCAAAATAGATAAATAAATGCAACTTTTGCAGTCTGATTAGAGGCAAAAAAAAAAAAAATCTTGATATGTATATACAAATTATATAAAGAAATAATTATAGTTCTGAAAATTAGAATCAAACAAACTTATATAGATCTGCATAATATTTAAAACACTATTTAAAATAATAGTAGATTATAATTCATATTAAATTTAATATAAACTTAAAAATAGAGAATTAAATCAAAAAATTTTTTTTCAATGACTGGCATACATCTTGTTTTATTAGGTTATTTAAATGCAACATATACAAATTCGTATTTTACAAATCTACCACCACTAATTTCCAAATAAAACTACCTAAGATTTAGATTATCCTTATCTACCAGTCGACTTATTACCCCCCATTCTTCCTATATTACCAGAACTGGAATCCTGATTGCATAGGTAGAGTAATAATGTGTCAGGATGTGCACCTTCTAGTTCCGCCCACCATCTGATAAATAGAAACTCGAAGAATCATATCCTAATATGATCAGCTGTGGATCTAAGCCATATCCACAAGAAGTTTTTGTGACTCTAGCTACAGTCATATGAAAACTGGTTTGTTTCTTTTATAGTTGCATGGACTAAAGATAGAAGGAAGCATGCTTCATGTATGAGAAATGGGGATATCACCAAACTTAACAACAATCATTATAATACTGCCAGACGATCATTACACTGCTACACTTTTCTTGGTATCACAATCCTAATGTCCGTTGAATCAACATGTGAATTGACTTCTTATAGGAAACAGCGCATGTTAGGTTATGGTGCCAGATATCATCTTGAGATGGTCCAGTTACCTTCACCTGGAACTGAACTTGGTATCTTGT